GATGAAAATTACTTAGTGTTCAGTTTGTTGAAAAATTAAAAAAATTAAGTGTTCCATTGAGATATGTTTATACAGTCTTTAGATATAATCCACAATACAAACCTATAGATTCAGTTCAGGAATTTTTCAAACATCTTAATCCTTAAAGTTTCAAAAAAATTTACTTTTTTATTTTTTAATCTTAAAATATTTATTATAATTAATTTTTTTTCCTAATATAATGTTTTATTATTAATGCCTCAACACAATATAGTTCTCTAATAAATTTATTATAATAAATTTATAGAATAAAATAGTTTTAAACTAAAAAATCATTTTCATTCTTTATTTTTTATTAAAAAAAAAAAAGAAATGTGAAATAAATAATTAAAAAGTTTAACAAAAATAAAAAAATTAAACAATAAAAAATTATTTAATAGAAGTTCAATTAAATCGATTTAAATAGAAACTTGAACTCTAAAGAAATCACCAGGTTCACCACAAAGTGGACATACTTTTGGTGGTTGAGTACTTTCAAAGATATATCCACACTCTCTACAAACCCAGAATACTTTTTCAGTTTTCTTGTAAAGGGTATTAGCTTTTAACTCATCAAGAATCTTTTGATAATTGTTATGATGATTAAGTTCAGCCTTAGCAATAAGATTGAGTCTAGCAGCAATTTGGGCATGTCCTTCTTCTTTGGCTACTTTAGCAAATTCTGGGTACATAGTTTCATGTTCATAAGTTTCACCAGCAATAGCAGCTAATAAATTATCAGCAGTAGTACCAAAATCAATTGGAACAGCAGTTTCAATTTTTGGAGTTTCTTGTCCTTCCTTTTTAAGTGATTGAATCATTTCAAAAAGAATTCTGGCATGAGTTCCTTCTTGATTAGCTGTTTCATTGAAGAGTTGTGCAATTACATCAAGACCTTCTTTTTTAGCAGTTTTAGCATAAATTAAATATCTGTTTCTTGCTTGAGATTCTCCAGCAAAAGCCTTACAAAGATTAATAAGAGTTGCCATTTTGAAATACTAAAGTTAAGTGAAATATTGAAGTTCAAAATTATTTAAATAATAAAAAACTCATCAAAAATAGTTTCTATTTTTTTATCGCTTCTCCACATAACTTTCTTAGTAAGAAGGTTCAGTTTCAGTTTTGTTAGATAATTTGTTGTAGATGCTGGAGTTGATGGAAATCTTTCTTCTTTTTATTTTTATTTTTATCCTTGTTATAAATTTATTATTTTTCATAAGTCTTTTTATCCCCTAAAATAAAACGTTTAGAACTATAAATCTAAATATAAAATTTTTAAGATAAAAACATCAAAAATAATATAAAAAATTAAAAGAAAAAATATAAGAATTAAGAAAATGATCCTGAGATTTGCTGATGAAGCTTTACCTAATAGTCATATTAATTTGTTTCATTTTATAAGAGACGGAAAAATAGAAGATATTAAAAAGATGATTGACACAGACCCTGTTACTTGCAAAACATATGTTGATGATGACCAAAGAACATTATTACATTGTGCTTGTGAATTACAAAATTATTCTTTAGTTGAAAAAGTTCTTCAGATTTGTGATAATAAAAATCCTGTTGATGAAATGTTATTTACTCCATTACTTGTTAGTGTTGCAGGTGCTTCAATGAGCAATGAATTAGATGAGTCTTATAAAATTATTCAATACCTAATTGAACATGGAGCAGATATTACATTATCAAATAAAAGAAAAGCTAACGTATATCATTTTGCTTGTAGTAGAGGAAGAAGAGATTTGGTTGAATTGTTTTTGGGTAAGTGGAAAGAAGGGGCTTCTGCTCGTGATAAATATGGTAATACTCCTCTACACCGAGCTGTAGCTAGTGGAAATATTGAATGTACAAAACTAATTGCAAAGAAGACACATACAATTATTGCTCAAAATTCTATGAAAAAGACACCACTGCATATCGCTTGTGAAGAACAAAATATTCCTATGATAAAGGCTGTGATTGATCTTGGTGGAGATGCTGATATTGTAGATGAAGACGGTAAATTCCCATTTGAATTCATCAGTGATAGAACAGCATTTAAAGAGATTTGTGAATATTATAAAGCGAGCAAAAAACATTGACTATTATAATTGAACTAAATTATTCATAACTGTTTTACTATTCATAGCCTCTTCTAATAACATTGGTAATTGGCTTGAGCTTTTCATTGAATAAACATTCTCAGCAAGTCTATCTATAGTTATTTCAAGTACATTTTGACGAAAAACAAATAAATCTGGTGACAAATCTTCTTTTGGTAAGAAGAAAACTTTAACGTATGAGTATTGAAGAACCCGTATTCCGTCTTCAATAATTGAACAGATAGAGTTCAATATTTCAACATCATTTAAGTTTTTTGTTTGAGAAAATAATTTTCTTTTATTTTCAACTTCTTCGTTAAACAATCTTATTTGAACTTTATGATTCATAAATCGTTCAAAATAATATTGATATCTTTCACTCTCTTCTTTAGTTTGTTCAGTGGCATCATCCAATTTCTTTGCCTCAGAGGTTTCGTATAAATTACATTTATAGAAGCCACCAGTTTTTGTCCCATGAGTTTTCCAATCTCCCCGACACATCCAACACCATTCTCCATGACATCTAGGACAAGTCATATGATTACATCCTTTAGTCCTCTCTGTCATTAGTCCACAATGAAAACAAGGTTTAGAGATTGATTCAATCATTCTCATACTTTCAGAATCTTCTTGATATAAACTTTCCCATTCACTAAGTTCTTTACATGAAGCGGGTTCATGTCTTTCTCTTCCACACCCAAAACAAAATTCATGTCCACAATAACAACTAACTTTAAAATGTGGTTTTCCTGTTTTGATAACATGAATAATTCGTTTACAATCAATTCCACAACATTTTTGATATTGATGGTTACGTTCTAAATAATTTTGTATAATCATTTTTTTGAATTTTTCAATATTATTTTGGTTGCAATGAGATAAGACAAATTGAAGAGAAAGATGTTGTTCACAACCACTTTGCATACATTTATAACTACTATAAGATAATGTACCATTCATAGAAAGATATTCATTCCAGCACGTTAAACAAAACTTATGACCACAACGTTCACCAACCAACATTCCATCTTCATAACATACTGGACATGTTCCTTCTGTAATAAATGATTTATAACTTTGGTTCTTTTTACTTTTATTATTTGTTTCATTAGAAAGAATTCTTGTTGATGCCTCATCAAGATCTACATCATATATTTCAACATATTCATTAATCTCACTTAAAAATAATTGATAAATATCTTCTTCTGTTAGTATTTCAAATTTTGGGTTGTTAGTCATTTCATAAGACCAGTTATTTATTATATCTTGTTCATCATCTGAATCAGTTTCCCCATTCATTTTCTGTTTAATTTCATTTTTTTCTTTTGGTTCATTATTATTTTTTTCTTTTGACTCAAAAAACAATGGTTCTAATGAAATGTATGTTGGTTTGGATAGTGGTTTTTTAATAGGTTGAAGACTCTTTTTTTCTTCCCTCTTTTTACGTTCATCTTCAATACTTTGCATTGCCAATGCATTTTGAACTGCTGAATCAACATTCCATCCAGAACGTATCAACGAGTTTGTAGCAATAACAACTGAAAATCCCATTTGGACAACTGTTGAAATCAGTTTAACTTTCTTGCCTTTAAACCTTTGTATAATTTGATTGTTGTTAATAGTTGAACATACAGCACATGGATGATGTTCAAGATAACAGTGTTTACAAATAATAAAGGCACTACAATTGTTACAAGTATATGCCTTATTGAATATACCAATACTTCTTCTATTACATAAGTATGAAATTATGGCACGTTAAAGAAAACCGAATGAACAAACAAGCAGTCCTCACAATTTATTGTTTTATTAAGAAAGATTTTCTTAAAATTTTCCATTATTTAGCTGTCTTTTTCTTGTCTCTTCCTTTTTCTTCTTTTCTTTCTTTGTCTTTTCATATTAAATCTCTTTTTCAAAAACTGGTAATTAAATCTTGATAATCTAACTTTTCATGCAAAATTCCTTCTCTTTGGACTTTCCTTTTGACTCATCATTCTCAGATAATTCTCAATCAAATAACTTCTTCTCTCAACAACACCAAGAATTTAATAGTCTATCATCAAATGGATTTTCTTCACAGTCATCAAACGATTTTCCTGTGACACTCCAAAACGACTTTTCTCAACCATCTCAGTTTTCAAATTTTGATCCTCAAGTTAACCAACAACCAACCCAACAAAACACTCCATCAAAGGGTCCTACAAAATTTAAATTTGGACCTCCAACTTCTACAACTAAAAGAGGACGTACTGAAATAAAGCCTCCAATGACTAACTCTTCTTCCCTCAATTCTGTTTCACAACAACAAGTCCAAGCCCAACCTCCAGAAAACCAAAAAACCGAAGAAGTGCCACAACCAATACAAACTCAAATCAAAAAACAACCTGCTAGTGACCATTATAATCTTTTAAGAGAAATCGCTGCTGAAACATTAACCTCAACAACTCTTGTTCAATCTGAATCGTCAGCACAACCCATGGAACAAAAACCATTTGAATTTAATAATCAACAAGAATTCACATTCAACAATCAGCAACAACCGTTTGAATTCAATAATCAACAACAATTTAATGTATTCTCTAATGATTTCTCTTTTGATAAACAAATAGTACAAACCCCACAACAACCACAAGAAACAGTAGAACATCAAGTCGTTGACCAACAATTAACATCTCAAAAATCAGATGAACCTAAAATTGAAATTACACCTCAAGTAACAAACCCCCTTAATGCCATTAAATCTACACCACCAACACCAGCAAATGAAATTGAAACAAAAACACAAATACCACTAGACCAAAAAGTTAATGACAGTACTCAATTTGCTTTTAACTCTTTTGAAAATGTCTTTTCAGGTAATTTTTCATTTGACACTCCAGTCGACTCTCATAAAGAAGAAATTCAGTTTGAACAAAAGTCAACAGAACATGATACCCCTGTAATAACACAAGAAGAAAAGAAAGAGGTAGTATCAGAAAATAAGCCATTTGATATGATGAATTTAGAAGAAGACGAAAGGAGAGAAGAGCTTAACCAGGCTAAACAGAGAAAAGAAGAATTACAAGTGGAAAAAAGTCTTTTAGAAAAGGAAATTCAAGAGTCATCTCAAGACATAAAGGAGATTGATAACATAAAAGAACTTCAAAGTGAAAATGAACAACTTCAAAGAGAGATTAATGATATGAAAAAACAAATTCAAAACATAAAAGAAGAAAAAAGAAAACGAGATGAAGAGACTAGTAGACTTATAAAAGAGAATAATGAAATGAAAAGTCAAATTAATGAACTAAAACAAAAACTAAGAGATCTGAAGGAAAAAGAAGAAAATGAAAAGAAAGATAATGAAAACAAGAAACAAGAGAATATTGAACTTAAAGAATACTCTAACGAAGGACAACGTCTTATTCAAGTAAAAGCAATGGGTGGTATTGTTGAAGATCAAGAAATTGATTCTTTCATTTCACATGAAATAAAACAAGGAGAAGAAATAGATAATAGAATAAATAAGGTGATTGAAGAAAATAATCAGTCAGAAGAAAGTAATCAACCAGAAGAAAATTCTCAACAAGAAGTTATTGATAAAATAAAGCAAATGTTAGGTGATGGGTCATATAAGTTAGGTCCATTTCTTAATACTTTGTTTACAGTTCAAGACGAAGACTTTAAAGATAATAGAAATGAATTCCCAATGCTTCCATTTGCTTTGCTTTAATTATAAAACTTGAATGAAATAACAAAAATTACAAAATATAAAAATATTTTTTAAATAATGTTTTTTATTATTTTTAAAAATATTAAAAGAAAAAAAACTAACTTTTTTTTGTTAGAAATTTTTGACATGACATCATTATTTAATTCTTTTTTATATTATGGAGGAAGATGTCTTCAAGGAATTCTACTTGTTGTTGCTTTGTATTTATTTATTTTACTTTTTTTTATTCATACAACTCAAGTAATACCATTGTATTATTCACAATACCCTTTAATTGTTTCGATTATGTTGACTTTATTGTCTTTGTATTTAATTTCATTTTTTGTTATTATGTATATTCGGACTGTGTTTACTAAACACTTAGACACAGTTCCAACATCAAAACTTTGCGAATACTTTGATGGTGACTTAGTAAATTCTCCTTATATAAACTGTGAAATTTGTCAATGTCTAAAACCATTCAGATGTCATCATTGTCGAATTTGTAATTGTTGTATTTATCGAATGGATCACCATTGTATTTGGGTGGGTCAGTGTATAGGAATTCACAATATTAGATTTTTCTTTTTGTTTATAAGTTCATTATCCTTGTCATTATTACTTGGTGCAGTAACGACATACCCCCTACCTTTTTCTACTTCAATTAAATTACTATTTACTTTTGAATGTGTATTAGGAAGTGTATTGTTTATTTTTGCTTTTGGACATTTTTTGATGATAATAACAAATCAAACTTCATTAGAAATAAGTTATAATATAATGGACTATATCCATCAACCATCTCATCTTCGTAAATTTATTACTCCTTATGATTTAGGAATATTGACTAACATCCATCAAACATTACGATTTTCATCGTGTTGGGAACTTTTCAATCCTTTTGCAAAACAAGTACCATGTGATCCAATGAAAGTAGTTGTATCGAGAGAGTATATTATGCACTGTGATTGTCTAAGTGAAGAAAATGAACAGAATCAATAAAATGAAATATAAGACTCAATATAAAATTATTGAATGAAATGAATTGTTTTTGCAAAGATAAAGAAGTTGACATATTATTTTCTTCTTTTTTTTATATTGAAGGAGCTGAAAGTGATAATGGTGTAATATTAGAATATTTAGGAGAAGAAAGTTGTCTTCATTTTCTTAAATAAGCAATGGTACGAGCATATTCCTTCTTTTGAAAAACAAGTTATTCACCGTTTATTTCTAAATACTCATCTTCACCTATTTCATTGTAATGTTCAAAAACTTCACAAAATCCTTTATTTGTTAAATAAACTTCTTTATAAATAAGGTATGGATTACAATCGTATTGATCATTTCTTCTAAAATGATGTGCTAATGCGGGTGCTCTTGTTCCAGAAAATTCACAATAGAAAAGTTGATGGACTTTGATGTGTATCTTTTTCAACTGGAAAATGATTTACTAAAAGATCTTCATTCCAAAGATTCAAAGAACCTTTGATGTACCCTGCATTATATTCATAGGGATATCTTCAATCAATAACCTCAACAGAGGTGGTCTTTTATTACTCGTTTAAGTGTAGAAAGATCAATTTCTTTACTCTTATTAACGTTGGTTCTGAAGTAAGGACTTGTATCACAATCTCTTTGATTTTCATTATATGACATAACATCTGGAGAAGTTGGAGATATACAAAACTCATTAAGAGTTAGTCTTCTATGACGATTTTTCATCATCACATGGCTCATGTGTTTTGCAAATTTTTAGTGACAAAGAAATTTCAACTTCAGAACAAGGAGAGAAAGAATGTCGAAATGAGTCCCACCTCCGAGTTATTGATTTAGTGTCTAATGCTTTACTTTTTATAGAAGTAATGAATAATGTATTAACTAGGCTTTTCTGAGTCGTAACAGCTCCAAGTATATTTGTAATTTTATTTTTTAATACTTTTAGTTTATTTTCAAATACTTTAATTTTGTTCATTAGATTGCTCTCAAGTTAAGCATATTCAAACAAAAAGAAGGTATTGACTCTAATTAGTTAAAATAAACAATTAATTAAGTTTAATATTGATAAAAGATTATTCTTCTTCTATTTAAAATTGAACCAATTTCCTTTTCTTGAAGAAGGATAATTGATCATAGTAGCATTTCTTCTTATTGTGGCTTCTCTTTTACAAAGTCTATGTGGGTCTAAGAAATCTAAATATTCTATATCATCCATTGGTTCAACTGGTCTATTTAATTTATCATTTTCATAACTTTGACCTAAGTTATTTCTAATATTGTTTTCAAAATCTACTTCTTCTGTATCACTACTTTCATTTTCTGATTTTATGGCATTAATAATTTTTATTGGAGAATTGGATGGCATAAACATTTTAGTTGATTTATTTATTTGGTCATTAACTTTTATACTATCATTAGTACTTACACTACCTGTTTTTATATCAGGAGTTGTAAGTAATATGTGTGGGTCTTCTTCTTCTTTTGTCTCAAGTTGTTGTAATTGGTTAATTGGTATAAGTTTTTCTTCATCACTTTTTGCTGAAGTAGATCTTGGGATCATTAAGGAATAACCACCTTTTTTTCCACCACTCCTTGCTCTTGGTTTTAGTAAATTACTAGCACTAAGTTTTAATGATGGGTTCTTATAACTAATACCAAGTCTAGACTTTGATCTTGATCTAGTTATGTCTCTATCAATTACAGGTGATTTGGTATTAGAATTTGGTAGAATTGTATCTTTTCTCTTAATTGTTATTGATTGAACCAATGTACTAATCATTTCATTAATTTGTGAAAATCCAGGTCTTCTTTCAGGTCTTTGACGCCAACACTGCTTTATAATTTCTCTATAAACACAATCTTTTGGTATTCCAATTCTTTTTCCTGAACAAACAAAATTTAATACACTATCCCCATCATGAAATTCAATAATTGGATAAGGGTCATGAGTTAACCATATTTCTAACATACAAATAGCAAATGAAAAAACATCTGATTTTAATGTTAATTTTCCTGTTCTATGTACTTCAGGAGCCATGTACATTGGAGTACCAACATCACGAATAGTAATATTATTAGAAGATTCAATAAATGCTTGTGATGTTCCAAAGTCACTAACTTTACAAACAACAGGGTCATATGGATTTTTAGAATATACTAATACATTATCAGTTTTTAAATCATGATGAATAATATCGTTTTGATGAAGATATCCCATTCCAATAGCTATGTCTTGACATATTCTTACTTTCATTAATGTAGTCATTTTATTTAATTTCATATATTTTCTTAAAGATCCTAATGTACAAAATTCGGTAACGATACATAAAGTATCTGGAGTAACGATAGTTCCAATAAAATTAACAATATTTTGACATCTTAATCTTTCCATTAATTCTGCTTCTTGTTCAAAATTAGGCATTAAATCTTTTAAATCAACCATATCAGTTTTTAATACTTTAACAGCAATTTCTATTTTCCTCCATTTAGCTCTATAAACAATTCCAAATGTTCCTGCTCCAACTGGTGGTTGTTCTAATCTAATTTCTTCATAATCTAATTTAGTAGATACAGTAGATTCTGCATTAAGATTTAAATACGTATAAATTCTTGTTATTTTTTTTTCTCCATTACTTTCACTTGATTCTATTTCATCATCACTATCCATTTCATTGTCTGACTGTTCTGTTTTTTCTGAAAGATTTAGAATATCTTCATCTTCCATAGAGTGACGTACAATTTTCCAATTTCCCCATTCTAATGTAATAGGTATTTTTTTTTTATTAATTATTGTTGTACATCGAATAAGAATTTTAACTTTAATTACAATAGTTTGTCCTCCACGAATATTTCCTACAGGAGGTTCAAATACTAATTCATATTTATATTCCTCATGACCGTGTAAAATAAAACTTAGTGTCTCTTTTCTACAATTAGTAATACATATTTTTGTTCTTGCAACTTCATCTACATCTGGTCTTATTGTAGAGTCATTAAATGTAACTGATGGTGGGTTAAAAACAACATAGTTATGAAGTGATTCAAGTGGAATGTATCTTTTTCCTTCTTTATTAAATGGAATAATTGTACCACAAATTAATCCTTCTTTTATATTTTTCATAACTTTAGATATTTTATTAAATTTAATTAATGTTACAACTAATAATATGATGTAAAGTAATGTATAAATCCCTATAAAACATGAAATAAAGATTATATTGTTTAAATATTTATACTCACATGATACACTTCCATTTGGTTTATATCTCCTAGTACATTTACATAGTTTATTACAACCTGATCCACCATCACATTCTTCTCCTGGATCAAGGCGATGATTTCCACAATAGTTCTTAACACAACTTCCATTAACATAATAATACTCTTCTATACATTTACATTGGTTATTGCAAAATGGTTGATTTAATTCACATTCTTCTCCTTCATCTAATACTCCATTACCACATTTTGTACATTCTCCATTAATAGGTACAAAATTCTTTTCACATAAACATTCTTGAAACTTTGAACTACATATTCCACCTGTACATTTCACACAAGAAACAGTTATTTGAAGTGCATCTCCACTAACAAAAATTAATGTTTCTTCATTATAACGAAACATAACAGATAAATCTGTTAAATTAGAATACATTCCAATGCATGAGTACTGTGTTTGTAATGAGAGAACAACATTACTTCCAGTTGTTTGAATTTGGTACGAAACAGATTTATTTCCAATAAACCGAAACCAATGACCAAGAATATTATGGTTATAACACAGTGTATTACCATAATAATTTTTTCTTATTTGACTGTATTGAGTTTGATTCTTAAAATCAAATATTGAAGCAAAAGAATAAAGGTCAGTTTTTTGAATAGTTAATTGAGTTGATAGTAATCCAGATAAAAGAAGAACATACTCTCTTTTCTCTAATAATATATTAAAAGGATACTCAGTATCAAACACTTGTAAACAATTTGAACATGAAGTTTGAATACTTATTTGTAATGGAGAATTTGAACTAAATGAATAAAGACTATTCTCTGAATATAATACATAATAATATCCTTTAGTTTGTTGAATTAAATAAGGTAATATATTAAAGCAAGGAGTTTCTACAAAATAAATTATATCTGGAAATGTTAAAGTTAAGAAATTATTAATGACAAATTTTGACGGAAAAGAATTCAAAAAAGATTCACAAGTTTTTGGTTGATTTACTATCTTTTCACATCTCAATCCGAAAGGATAATAGCCAGTTTGACATCCACCACAAGAGACAAGCATTCCTGCCTTCTTATCACATATTTCGCATTTTCCATAGATACAACTCAAACATAAATCATTGCATGGATATCCTGTTGAAACTAAAATGATTAGTGAAAAACATATGAGCAGTAATTTATGGTGTTGCATTTAAGTCAAACCAATTTGTTTTCAAACAGATTTTCTTTCTTTTTCTTCTGTTTGATAATTTTGGTTACTAAAATCTTTTTTTAAATTAATCAAAAAAAAATTGTTCTAATTTTTAATGATTTTTTTTCAAAATAAAAAACATTTTTACATTTCTCATTTTGTAATATATTCTAATTCTTGTTATCTTTAGTAATTTAAACAATCTTCTTGTTTTAACTTGACTATTTATTAAAATTAATCTTTTATAATAATAATAATAATTTAATTATTTGAATGATAGGAGTATGATTTTAAAAACATTCATAACGTTTTCATTAATACCTCTTATGTAAAAGAAAGAAGGAAAGTTTAACAATAATGAAAAACATTTAATAATAGATAAAGTAAACAATTTAAATAAAGATATATGAAAGATTTTAACTTAATCTTTCTATATAATTATATACCCTTAAATGAGAATTTACTAAAAATAAGCTAAATTCATCAAATAATGTAACTAATAACTAACAAAAAATAAACAAAAAGGTTAAGTAAAGACTTTTTGATTTGTATTTTATGATTATAAAAAGAAAGAAACTATACTTTTTGATACAACAGACTAACCATGAAAAATTAGTAAATAAACAACCATATTTATTATAATTAAAAAAAGTAATTAGAATATATCAAAACTATAACAATAAAGAATTACTTTTAATAAAAAAAGGATTTTAAATATGAAAAATGTTTCTGTATTTAGATAAAAAGGTTGTATAAAAAATTAAATGTCTAGAATGTGAAAACTGAAGTTAGAAAACAAAAAATAATTATTTATATATAAAATACAAAAATACTAAAACTAAAGTTATGAAACAGACTTTGATTATAAAATGAAAACGAGTTTTTTATTTTTCAAAAGAAAAGTATGAACCTATTATTATCATCAAAAAAGACATTTAACTTTTCTTATTCATATTTATTCTACAATTTCAACCATAGAAATGAATAAAAACCAAAAAAAGGAAAGAAATTAGTTTCATTAAAAAAGTAATACTTCAACTAAATTAAAGTTTATTAAAAGCCTTAATTCCAGCTTGTTTAGCTTCATTGATTTGATTTTGGTTTTTATTATCTTCTCTTTGTGTACCAGATAAATAAACTCCTTGATACTTAGCACCATATGACTCAACAAAAGATTGAACAGGGTAAGCAGCTCGTTCACAAATACTTTTACCTTCTTCTGCAGAGTTTGAAATACAAACAAATAATTTTTTAGAGAAATTATCTTTTAAACTAGGTTTAATTCCGTATGTTTTCATATCAAACAAACAAACAGTTCTATCAACAAAGTTTTTAATTTCTCCTGGAATAGCATACCAATAAACTGGATATGCAAAAATAACAATATCAGAATCTACAACTTCTTGCATAATTTCTTCAAAACCATCTTTTATAACACAGTAAAAACTTTCTTTTGGTGAACAAGCATAACACCCTGTACATCCATCTAATTTTTTTTGTGCAAGATTAATAGTTTTACTTTCAATTTGTGTTTTAGAAGATAGTCCTTCAAGAAATGCCTTTGCATAGCGACTACTGCTTGAGTTTTCTCTATAACTTCCAAGAAGAACAAGTACTTTAACAACCATTTAAGTGAATGATTAGATTTAAGATTCAAAGTCTTTTAAATAGTAGGGAAAAAAAAAAAGAAAAGTTTAAAAAAAAAGAATTTTCTTTATTTTCGTTCTTTTCATATTTTTAGAATTATTAAGTGATAAAAATAATAAGAAAACATGTATAAATTATAATAATTCATTAGTATTTTCTTGTAACTTTTCTGAAATTTCTTGTTGTGGTTGTTCTGTATTAGGTTCGGTTACTTGAACTTGTTCAAGTTTAGTTGTTTCAATAGAAGACGGTCCTTCATTATTTTCACTATGTGAAGTTGGGTCAGCTCGTTTAGCTTGTCTTTTGTTATTAATAAAATAACCAATATGATAAACAATGGCTGTTGTAGTTAATGTTATTAACATAACAACAACAATAAAATACATTGGTGCAAATACTCCAAATGCATTAGATAAAAGTCCTGCAATTAAAGGTAAAATTGCATTAGACATAGATGCAACACTTTCACTTACTCCAACAAATAAACTCTTTGATTTTTCACTTGCTCTTAGAGAGTAATAGGTTGATGTTTGATAACTAAACCCAGCAGCTAATCCAGCAATAAAAGACATCACAAAAATAACATATGGATTAAATACAACAACTAACAATAATGAAAATACTAAGAAAATAGCTTGGGCAAGTAAACATAATGATCGATGATATGTCCATTTATCAGTAATACTCATAATACCAAACATAATTGTTTGTGCAAAGTACATAATAAAAAAATTAAATGAAACAAAATTATCTTCAGGACTTCCTTTCATAGGAATTCCTATTGATTTTTCATCAGCAATTTTAATATATTGATTAGTAATAACACAAGATGCTCCAAATAGTCCTAATTGCATGATATATCCTAAATAAATATATGTTTTATTTTTTAATTGTTTGTCATTCCATTTTACTTTTATTTTAATATTTGCTTCATTAACAACTTCATTAGGAATTACTATATCGTCTTTTTCTTCTTGATTTATTTGTTCATTTTTCTTTTGTGATTCTTTAATTTCTTGTTGTAATGAAGGACTTATATCTACCTCTACATCATTTGCTTGTTTTTCTTTATTCATCTCAACAGCATTTTTTAATGCTTTCTCTTCTTCTTTTTCCTTTTTAATTTTTTCTCTTAACCATTTAACGTGTCTGTATGGATAAACAATCATAATAATAACATTAATTCCAATAGCAATATACAATGATGTACTTGCACCAAGTGCTGATTTCAAAAAACCTCCAGCTGCATATCCAATAGCCTTACCAAATGACCATGACACAGCAAATAAACCAGAGTCTCTTGCTTCATGTCCCATACCAGCTTCTTTACCATTGTACCAACAGCAGCTGGCCA